TGCCTGGGTAGTAATATTTTCAACATTAGATTTGCATACATTCAATGAATTACAGATTCAGTAATTTATGGTTAGACATTCAGACTCTTGCTAGTTTTTCAGTATCACAAATATAACTTGATTCTCCCAGTTCCACTGTGATTGTAGTTGTGATCAGTACTAGCTTTGATAGTGTGCTATTATCAAATATGGGAACAACCCCTTGGGCAGCTCCTCAACTCCCACCCCCATCCCCTGCTCCAAACCACACTATTTGCATAGGCTGGGAGTCACCACCCAACTTCTCTGTCAGAAATTTGCATCAAGGGTTGCACTTGAGGCTCTGGATGTGACATCCCTCTGGTATTGGTCAGCACATGGGACAGATGCAGTCCTTCCATCCATGCTGCATCTTGTACACACACTATCTCTGCTGCTGGGAACTTCACAGAATGCTGCTGAGGACTTTGCACACACAGCAAGCTGGTCTATGGTGCCATATGGAGCACTTCTCTTCTATGGAGAAGTACAATAGTGTGCCTCTGCTTGCTCGGCACAAACTTGGCTGCATGGGGCCTGAAGTTGCACTGTTTGGATACAGGACTTCATAGAGCTCTTCACCAATTCTGATCCTTTGGCTTCTCCCATGAATGCTCAACACTAGTTGAGGAATCTATTCTTAGGGTGATGAAAACTCAGATGCTCTCATCTCCCAAGACCCTCAATGAGAAGGAGAGGCCTCAGCTCTCTTTTTTTATGTGTCCTGTCTAGTTAGATAGATCTAGAAGCTCAATAAATAAATACAAGAGCAGGTAAACAACAGAAGAGCATACACATGTTATTAATTCCACATGTACATAAGAATCTTTGCAAAAGAAAAAAGTTGATTTTAAGCTTTTCAGACAAACAATATTACATGTGTAAAGGAACGACAAGGCAATGGAGATTTGGATGAGATAATGCCTTCTAGAGACATCACTAAGATGAATGGGGCAATGAAGAAGCTACAAGAAGATATAGTTCTGCATTTGTGTGTTCGGGATCACTGTAGCCTTCCCAACCTCCAGGACCAGGGCCATTTCTCTAGCCTTGTATAATGTGCAATCTTGATTGTCAACTTGGTAGTATTTGGGGGCACCTGGCAGATACATCCCCAGGCATGTCTGGGAAGTATTTCCAGAGAGGATTGCCTGAGGGGGAAGGCTCTCTTCTAAGCAGGTAGCACCTTCGGTGGATAGCCCGGATACAGAGAGATACCAGGAAACATCGAGTCACCTGCCTGCCTTTGCTCCCATCCACCACTGCCATCACATAACAGTTTCTCTGGCCTCCCAATGTGGACTGAATACCAACTGCTCTCCAGGGAGTTCCCAGGCCTTCAACACTGGGCTGGGACTATTTGGCCCCACTATTGAGGCATCCATATTTGTGGACTAAGCAGCTACCATGTTCTCTGCCCACTTAGCATGCTGGTGGGCATTGCTGGACTATTCAGTCCCTATCATGTATACCAATCTAATAAATCCATTTTATGATATACAATCATTCTATTTGTTCTGACTCTATAGAGAACCCTGCATGATACAGTATGTGAAAGACACCTCTATCCAAAGAACCTTTTAAAAATTATTATTTAAAATTAATTAGTTTACTTTACACACGCGAATGCTTTGCCTGCACATATGTTTGTGTTCCACATGTGTGCCTGGTACCTGTAGAAGTCAGAAGAGGGTGTTGAATCCCTTGGAACTGGAGTTATAGATAGTCGTAAGCCATCACGTGGGTGCTGGCAGTTGAACCTGGGTCCTCTGCAAGAGCAACAAGTGCTCTTAACAGATGGACCATCTCTCCAACCCCTCCTCCCAACATCCACACCATTCCTCTCTTCTCTTTGAGACAGGGCCTCACTATGTATCTTTGGCTGCTCTGGAACTCCCCATGCAGACCTGGCTGACCTCAAAATCATAGCGATCAGCGTCTGGAGTGCTGGAACTGTATGCCACCCACTCAGCCCAAATGGCCCTTTCTGTAAGATGAATTGCTAAACGATCTTATTAATAAAAAACCCAGTGCCAGCTATTGGGGGTAAAATTCTGAAAGATCAGAGAGACAGAACCAGCCACAGCCAACCTCACCTTGACAATTCCTCAGCCAATCCTGTTTCCTCAGACGGAACGCCTCTGAGTCTTCATCTGAATGGATCTCAGCTGAATTGCTGCTAAAAGCCTAAAAACTGGGCCGAGCGGTGGTGGCACACGCCTTTAATCCCAGCACTTGGGAGGCAGAGGCAGGCGTATCTCTGTGAGTTCGAGGCCAGCCTGGGCTACCAAGTGAGTTCCAGGAAAGGCGCAAAGCTACACAGAGAAACCCTGTCTGGAAAAACCAAAAACAAACAAATAAATAAATAAATAAATAAATAAATAAATAAATAAATAAATAAATAAATAAATAAATAAATAAATAAATAAATAAATAAATAAATAAATAAATAAAATAAAAGCCTAAAACTGTAAAAGCCTCTAGTTCCTGGTCCTCACGCTTTATATATCTTTCTACTTTCTGCCATCACTTCCTGGGATTAAAGGTATGTGTCACCATGCCTGGCTGTTTCCAGTGCAGTCTTGAACTCACAGAGATCTGGATGGATCTCTGCCTCCCAAGTGATAGGATTAAAAGTGTGTGTGCCACCATTTTCTGGCCTCTATGTCTATCTAGTGGCTGTTCTGTTCTCTAACCACAGATAAGTTTATTAGGGTGCACAATATATCGGGGGACACAATATACTTTTCTACTACACCTTTCTGAAGTTATAGCTCTTGAAACCATTTTTGCTTGAAACAATCAACATCCCAACTTGGCACATTTTAGGATGGTTTTCCTTATTCACTTTATCTGGTCAGTTACTTTTATCATCACTGTGACCCAATGCCTGGTGGATACATCTAATGGGAGGAAGGATTGATTTTGGCTTCAAAAGCTGCAGTGTCACTGTGGAAAGGGCATGGTAGAGCAGAGAGACCCTAGCAGCCAGGAAGCAGAGAGAGGAGGCCAGTTTTCTTCTTCCTCTTATTCTACCCAGACTCACACACGTTCAGGACAGGTCTTCCCCAATAATAAATGGAAACAAAGACTCGGCCTAAAGGCATGCTTCACTAATCTCCAGGGAGCTTCTTAATGCAATCAAGTCGACAATCATGATTAACCATCACAAGTCCCTTTCCTGGGTCTGCTCTTACTTATTCTTCAACCCAAATCCCTAAGCTGCTCTGCACATTAGTAGGTATAGTCTCCTACTTGTATAGAAGGGCATCCTCTAACACTACTCCCTGAGCACTGGCTCAGGGCCAGACCATCCAGAACTTTCTGGACATCGTGAATGCTCACCATAACCAAGAAAAAATGTCAACCTTCATTTAGATTATTCCCTTGGTGTAAATTCCCAGGAGTAGAGTAGCATAGTCCAAGCATAACAATATTGTTCATGGCTCTCAGTTCAGGGTCACAAATTGGCTTCCTGGAGTCACATGATGGATAAGCACTATGCATTATGATTATACCTAATCCTTGCACAGTTGCCAGGGGTAGTAATTGTTTTAAATTTTGCTATTGTCCCGGAAAAAATAATGATGTTTCCCCTTGTTTTGATTCATGTCTCTGAGACTCCTGCAGGCTTTCATCTTTTGCCATGCTTGTTCATAGAAACGTCTCCACTCCAGTGATTTGTGAGTGCAGATGTTGGGTGACTTCTTCCGGCCTTAATTTCTTAAACCGATTTTTGGAAGTTCTTTATGTAACTAAGATGTCAGGCTTCTGTCTGTGGTGATTGCATCTTTGAGCTTCCATGCAGCCACACAAATCCCAGTCTCTTTGCCAGCCTTCAGTGGCTTTTCTCTCTCTGTTCTTACGTTAAGGCTTATAAATATATTTCCTAGTCAAAAAGTATCAGTATTTGATTCTGTTTTCTTCTACTTTGTCACATACGTAATATATATATATTATATATTACACATAAAATTATAAATATGTTATATTATAAATATATATTATATATCATATATAAAATATATTGTATATATAATTATACCAAACATAATGTAGTATATATAATTTAAATGAAATAAAAAACACTTTGGGATCATGCCATTTAAAATAAATTATTATTACTTATTATTACTGAGACAGAGTCTCACTGGCCTAAATTCACTCTGCAGATCAGGCTGGCCTCAAACTCATAGAGATCTACCTGCCTAGTGCTGGAATTAAAGTTGTTTGCTGTAGATGTAACCAACCTTTTTGCCACTATCTCCAGTCTGATTTTTTAAAGATTATTTTATTATTGAATTTTATATGTACAGATATTTTGTCTGCATGTATCCATGTGCCACTTTTGTGCCTGGTACCCATGGAGGCCAGAAGTGAACATCAGATCCCCTGGAACTGAAGTCATAGACAGTTGTTAATGACCATGGAGGTGTTGGGAATCGAACCCAGGTCCTCTGGAAGAACCTGTGCTCGTTCTTAATCTCTGATGCATCTCTCCAGCTTCATTTTTGTTTTGGATTTTTTTTTCTTTACAAGACAGGGTTTCTCTGTGTAGCCCTGGTAATCTTGGAATTCACTCTGTAGAGATCCGCCTACCTCTGCCTGTGCTGGAATTAAAAGTATGCGCCACCACCAACCGGCTGATTTTTTTTTTTTTTTTTTTTTAAGTAAAATCAACTCTTACGGTAGGGGAGAAGTGAGGGGAGAAGGCTGCCCTGAGATGCGGCAACCCCAGAGGAGCTTATACGTGGAAATTTTGTCAACAGTGCCCGGGTGTCTCTTCATCGTCCCCCAGGAGTAAAACTACAATTTCCCCTGTAGCTCTGGTCCCCGGGGGAGAGCTCCTATTCTGACCCCTAGTCAGGATTCTCCAGAAACAGAACCCACAGGGCGAATATACATTAAAGGAATTATTAAATCAGCTTACGTTAAAATAGCAACAACATCTGTCTCACACCTGAAACTCGGTGGTTGCCCAGTCCAGGAGTCTGCCTCAGCAGTCCCAATCTGGTGTGGAAAACCTGCAAGGTTCCCGGAGAGCTTAGTCCTTAGTCCACCAGGGAACCCTGAAACGCTGCTTCTGACCAGCAAAGGAATCATCAGCAGCAACAGGATGAACCCACTTGGCCGCAAGAGAAAAGGCCAAGCAAGCAAAAGGTGAGCGAACTTCCACCTGCCACGCCCCTTTTCATCTGGGCTGCTACCAGATGGCGCTGCCCCCGGGGTGGGTCTTCCCACATCAATGAAGGCAACCGGGGCAGGTCTTCAGGTGGGCGGGGGTAGGGGAGGCTCCCTAACTCAGGGGATTCCAAACTGTGGCAGGTCGACATTAAAACCAGATTTCGACGTCCACCGTGGGGGAACCGAGGAACTCCATCCTCCCTCTTTCCCCCTTCCTCACTCTTGTTCCCACCCCGCCCCCACCACCATTCTGCTCTCCAATTACGGCAGGCAGAAAGGGGCAGGGACAATAAATACCAATGAAAAGTCACCAGCCTCGCCTTGCCTCCGCGTCACTTTGAGATAGCCTTAGCAGGGGGAACTGTTTGCTTCAAGGGGTAAGAGAACATGTTTCGGGTTTTGAATTCCAGCTCCATGGGGCCCAGTGTTAAGCTCTGAATCATTGTTGGCTGGCAGGGTTGGGGGTAGCTGTGTTCCTTGTTTCAGGTTTACTCAACCACACCCTGCACCCTATCTCTGATTTCTCTACTTGCTTGCTCTGGCTCCTGGCACTTTAGAGTTTGGGCAGGGCCTGTTCAGGTAAGCCTTCATTTCTGTTTTTAGAGAAGGAAGTAAGATATTCATTTATTCACCGACGTTGGTTGCTCTAAAGCTACACTTGGCACAACCACGTATCCAGGGCCAACAAAAATCATTTCTAAAAGCTTGCAGTTACAACAGCTTTTACTGAATGTTTTTCCAAAAAGGTGCAATAAAGAGAAATTTATGAGCCAGTCCGTGGTGGTGCATGCCTTTAATCCCAGCACTCAGGAGGCAGAGGCAGGTAGATCTTTGAGTTTGAGGCCAGCTGGTCTACAGAGTGAGTTGCAGGACAGCCAGGGCTACACAAAGAAACTTTGTTTCGAAAAACAAAAAAACAAAACAAACAACAACAAAACAAAAATAGTTGTTTTAAGCCCAGAG